GTGTATAGGTAGCTGAAATGTCAAAATCATCAAGTCGATGCTGAGCCGAAATACATAAAAGAGCCATGAAAGAGAATAGTAAGAAAGCTAAAAATAACTTGTGTTGCTTCAGATGGAGGACCTGAGTCCTTCCTCTTTTTTTTCAGCAGAAGAATAAAAAAATACTTTGAAACTTTGCCATGCCTATCACTGCTGACTCAAGGGCATCACACATCAATCTGTATCATAAAAAATAGGCTAACAGCTCCCACAAAGAAAACAGTATCTGTGTTATCAGGAAAGAAAAGCAATAAAAAAATACTGAAGAAGAAAGAAGGAATGTGGCTATCCACCTCCTGCTTATGCTAAGACAACCAGTTCATCTTAATTTGTGCATACTATTGCATCTCCCAAGAGACACAGCTTTACTCTATTGTTCTGCAATTTAACTGAAAAACTGTCAGACCTCATAAAGGGAAGTTTGTGGAGGTCGTTAGAGAAGAAAACTAGAATACATCACCCTACAGAATACATGTGCTACCTCATTTCTAGTACTTTCCTGCATCCTGGGGAAAATTCAGAAAAACTACAAGGGAAAACAGTCTTCATGGACAACTGATCTTTTGGATTTCATTACAGCATTTTAACCTAAATAAACTTTTAGGTCTAGACATTATCTGAGTGAAAATACGTTATTTTAATTAAAAAATACAGCATATAGAATAATTTTAGAGTGCACAAAAATTCAAGTTCTATAAATTCATAAAATACATGAGGAAGAATAAAACACACACTTAAGAGAACTTGCTTCTCTTACAATTGTGATGCTCTGGGTGTACTACATTACTCGCAGCTGTAGCATATAGCAGGATAATGATCAAAGGATCAAGACTGTCAATAGTTGAATTGATACCATGGAGTTCTTACAAGATAGCTTGGCAACTTCTCCTGAAGTGTGAGTATCTTTAAAATATGACATACATTTGTATTGCCTAAGGTCTATTCCTATTGCAATAGAAGTGATTTCAGTGGTAATGAACAGAGCAACCTCTAATCAACCAAATTTGTCCTGCTCTCAGAATACCACATAAATCAGTTACTGAGGAGTTGCCAAAGTCTTACTAAGTGCCTGAAAGCTCTTCCTAGATGGAAATAGAAGAATTAAATTTAGGATGTTTTTGGATACTAGCATCCAAACTCCAAAACTATATAATCATGTAACGTTTACCCCAAAACAGGTAGGTTTATTACTGACATCTATAAAATGTACTCCCAGATTCTTAATGTTATTTTACACAAAATGTAAAATATCTCCCCATCTTTCCAAATATTGAGTATTATGGATAAATCAAGGCCTTTTCTAATCAACCTACATTACTCACTTCACTCATGTGAGAAATCTTGCATGGAATTTTGTCTTCACACTGGAGATGCATTGTAGCTATAAGGAAGTTATTTGCAAATGCCAGCTTCCACCCAACATGGATGAATTCTTTGAGTTTCCTATAACTGACAAATGTTAAATCTGACAGCCTTTATTTGCTTCTTCTCAAACAACAACTCTTTGCCACCACTGACAGCTTAAGCAGCTACTTCCCCATCCTCCTTACTGTGTTGTGCTGGAGATTTATTTTCGGCTGGGTCTGTTTCCCAAACCCATTCACGTCATGTCCGTACAGACACGCATACCAATGCACTGGCAGGATGTGAGGGAGAAACGCCATCAGACCGTGGCAAACACTGCATCTGACTCAGACTGTGCAGGAGATATCTCTGCTCCTCACCTGGGTGCAAATGCAGCCCACACAGAATTGTTTCCCAGGGTTCACTGTAGCCACTGAAGTGCCAGTTGCAGCACAATTCGAGAAACAGCATACCACAATGAGACCTCAACCACAGTAATAACCAGGTCAAGAAATGTTTCAAGATTTTTTTGCTGCTCTCTGTGGGTACATTGTAATTAGCTGGTTATTTGCAGTGGAGCTGCAAATCTATCATTAATCTTTAAATAAAATACGCATGTTGCACAATTTCCCTCTTTCATAAAGGAAAGGGTTTGATTTTGAACATGTGAGGGTTAATACAGTACAGTGGTTTGAAAATTTTGTTATTTCTAGGTGCTGTCAGCAATGTGAATGGTCAGAACACACAGGTGAAAATTCCCCCATCTTTGTATCTCTCAATGGATCTACATGAATACAGAAATACATTCATGATACATAGACACAAAACAATCACAAGAACAACTGAAGATGAAGCAATGTTTTCAGAAAAAGGGAAGAGCTTGAAAGGAAAAATTAGAAAATTTATATTTAAGGCAGCTATGCTAGAGAGGTTTAACCTAATTCGTTAATTCTTCTAGAATCAAACAATTTCACTGAGGCAACAAAACTTTTGGGATAAAGGACAAATCACATATAAGTACCATACAATTCACAATACTTCAAATATGGTATTTACCATTAAAATACTCCACATGCAAAATATGCAGTTTTGTGTGTTACTAAGAAACTAACAAATATACTTAAGACACTTTGGAAAAATAATGAGAAAAAATATAAGGCAAATTAAGTTGAAAGTGGAAGAGTTTAAAACAATGATTTTACTGTCTTCTGCTTTCTCTATAAAACATTTATCAACGCTGAATTTCAAACAATGCCTTGTACTCCTAAAACATGCTATTCTGGAAACTGATTAAGGTTTCCAGTTACATTCCCATTGTTCAAACTCAATATAATTAACTGCATTTTGATTTTTCATAAACATATACATTTTTGTACATTTGAATTCTGACTTGCTTGGCATTGCAAGTATTTTTTACAAAACAAGTTTTCCGATATATTTAAAATACAGCTGCATTTACAGCAAGAAGCTATGCTACATCAATGAAAACACATTGCACTGGTAGCCTTCATAGATCAAAGTGACTGAATAAAATGATTTGAAATACAGTTCCTTCCAGAGGTTATTAAAATTGTGTGCTTTTTTTTTTTTTTTAATCTGGAGAGACTGGGAGGAATAGACTTTACAGAGTTTTCCCCCCTTTCCAATTGGGCAGGAAAAAATTTGCCTCTCTGATTTAAGCAGGAAAAAAATTGTTTTCAGTTCCTACGAAATCAGAACAGGATTATTTTGAAGTGTTTTCATTAATTACATGGTAACCTGCATTCTTTGGGTGGTGAATAAAAGAGGAAAAGCATTTATTTCCCATAGAAACAATTGCCTGTCAAACAAAGCATAAAAAGACAAAAGGCAGAAACACTGTTTCAGCTTGAATGCCTTAATGTCACCATTTGTCATGCAGCACTTCCTGAGAAAACCCCGAAGTACAGTTAACTCTGCTCCTCTTTACACCGTGCACTTTCTCCATTGGTACAGGATTAAAATGTGCCCAGCCTGACGATGAAACAGCAGAGCCATCACACATTGTTATGCAACTCACTGTCTGCAAGGGTGGCTCGTAGCTCCTTCTTTATTCAGCAAGTGCCAAGTGCATGTTTAATCAATGTCACAGCTCACCACAGTGTGCAACTAAAGCCACTGTCATTCCTCTCTTCAGATTTGCCTGGCTGAGTTATGCAATGCTCCGAAGAATACCTTGGAATTCTTTCCAGAGGCTCTGAAGGCAGGTGTGTGACAGCGTTCACACCACTGCCAGCAAAGCAGACCTCTTTCCATCCTTTTTCAGGCTGGACTAAAATTACACAGTGTGACTGCACGTAGTTTGCTGCATTTGGAATTACAGCATGTCAACGTGAGAAAGCCTCTTCAGACGGCTGCCACAAAGAGTAAATCAAAGGCTGGGTGTTTCTGAAGTCTTAATAAATAACTAAGTATAACTGAATAAAACCAGGAGCTGCTTGCATTTTCTTTTAAGACAAAACAGAACAGCATGCATTTTGTTGCTCTGCATCAGCTAAGGAAAAAAAGCCTCAATTTTAATGAGAATTAGTCAACAGTGAGGAGTATTATGAGAAAGAGCTTTACTGTTTTTTCGACTACAATTGCTTTAGTGGATTACTGAGAAACAACACCGGCCATTTGGAAGATTCTGCAACATTATCCTCACCGATAAACTTCTTCATCAAGAAACTGTTCGTGTTCCTATCTGGTCTGTCTGAGAGAGGAGAGCAGCCCCTTCATGAAGATAAAAGCCTGGTTTGCCACTGAATCGACGAGTAAGAAGCATGTCTGATGACATTTTATTCCTGATGCAATGTAGGGTAAGAAATACCGTTTTTTTAACCTTTCTGTAAGATATGCTCAGAGCTGATGACATCAATTAGACTCACAGCAGAAAATACGTTAATGTCTAATGATTAAAGCTGTTTGCCAGGAGAGAAAGATGCTATTGCACTATAAAATGACTGTGTATCTTCAGTAAATTGGAATGATCTGAACTAGTAGAAATCCCCATCAAATTTCTGATCAATAAAGCTAAAACAGCATAGCAGATTACATACAAGATCAACATCCCAGTCACCAGTGAACATAATTTTACAGGGAATATGTTTTTAGAGGGTATTTGACCGTAAATTAAGAGTACAAGAGCAGCTAAGTAATAGAAACGACCTGTCAACCTCACTTCTGCAACCAAAAAAAGATAACAAATCATATATGCATGTGTCAAATGTCTACTTGAATTCTTATATTGCATAGAATGTTGCTGCTATGAAAGTACTACCATCCTGTGGCATACTGCAATAATCAGCATATATAACAACCACCTTTATATTTGAAGAGACAGACATTTTCTGTTAAATGTTTACTGTTGCACAGATGTCCAAAAGCTGATCTATTAAACATGAAAAAGGATAAGATCTCACTTGCAATTGCCTTCTTGGGGGCTCACTGGTGAAAAACAACATTAATACTGTATTAAGGAGGCACATTTTCCATGTTTGAAAATAGCAGGAATGAATATTTTCAACTGTTTTTGTTATCTGGCAGTTAAATATTTAAGAAAAGCTGAAAATGCATATAACCTCCCCAGGCATTTCAGAGTATTTGACAATGCTCACATACCTGCTTTCACCAGTATCATCTTTTGTAAGGAAACAAATTAGCTGGCTAAAGATAGATTTTAAATGTCTTTTGTAATAAAGCATATTAACTGGCTTGAAGCACCAAGGTATTTTTCACTCCTATTAAATCCATACCTACAGAACATGTATTTTTAACATGGACATGTTCATACAAAAAGAAAACAAAAGACAGACGCAACTTAATAAATGCAGCATTAAGAAATGTTGTACGAAGAACTACAGAATTGTTTTTAAAAAGATCAAAGCTTGCACGTTTGTCAGACCAGATTTACCATTTGCTTTCTTTTTTCTAGCTAGCTGCCAGAATACTGGTGAAGGTATTTGCAGGAAAAATGGGGACCTCTGCCATCACAACACTGGAAGATGTAAAAAGGCAAGAGGAGAAAGAGGAAAAAGAAGAATCTATTTTAGCACTGCTTGGGATTATTGGAACTGTGCTAAATTTATTTGTTATTGTTTTTGTGTACATCTACACTACACTTTGATGACATTTTTGAAAATCAACTGTACAGCACAAAGTGCAAAGACCTTCAATAGTAAGGATGATCTCTAAATTTAAAGCAAAAAACCCACCACTCTCTGAAAAGAGCATCAAAAACATTCCAGAGTGAAGTGTCTGGCTACGGGTGCTGCATCAATGACTGCAAAGTGTACCTATGAGCCCAGCTAGGGTGCTAAATTACGTAAATGAAGGCAGAGCAAATACAACTTCTCGTTGGTAACAGATGAAATCTGAATAGCAGGATCAGAGACGGCACTGTTTTATTGGCAGCAAACATGCAAGACAGAAATGTAGGCAAACACTGGAAATAATCAGAACACAGAAAGAGATAAACTAAATATATAAGTAGCTATAAGCAGGTCCCATGCCTTCTGTGCTTTTGTGCAGTATGTCTCTTCATAGCTGAGACCAGAAAACAGGCAAAGGGTTTTTTATTTTTAGGCCGCCATAATTTAGGATTATAACTTACACTAATGTATAATAAGTGTGGAAACAGCAACACTGTTATACTAGAAGTTGTAATATTATAAATAAAATTTTAATTATTGACTATATTCTGCAGCATTTTTGTTAGTCTTGTGAAAAAGGTTAGATTTTCTTGCCTTTACTAAATCTGTATTTGAAATCATGATGCTATACTGATAATGTGCTTTTCTAATTAAAAATACTTTAAAGTGGTGTGAAAAAATAAAGAATAATTTTAGTACATCTTTTAAGACATATTAATAATTACAGTGAAACACTAATACATATTCTCTAAATGAAAAATATCTTAAATTACATTTTCTATATCATCATTTTTAGAATGTGTTTAACAGAAGCCAAATACAATTCTCATGTTTTCACTCTGATGCTTACTTTCAAGTAAAACATATCATGCAAAGATTCACAGTGTTGCATGGAAAACAGGTTTAACCTTTGTCCAGAAGACTGTACTCTCCTTTTCTGGACCAGGTCCTGAATAAATTTTCCCTTTTTGCACTGCCTATGATTGAGGCCCAGAATTGCAACTCTTAATCATACTTCACAGAACATTTGGCTACTGAAATTAGTGAAACTAATTCCACTTATTTAATTAAATCTACATATGCCTTTAAACTAGATTCAAAGCTGCAGACAGTCTGAGACCATAGAAGTTTTTGCATACATGAATGTAACTCACATGTACCTTATAATGAAAATTACTTTTGAGAGCTTAGGACTAAAAACTCATTAAACAGATAACATGAAAAAAGTAAAAACAAACTCATTTTAATAAACACTTTTCTTACAATTACCTGTGCCACAGAGGAACAACAGAGCAGCTGCATTTCTGAATATCAGCTCAATTTCTTCTAGGCTACAAAACTACATCCACTCCCTCCATAAAATGACATGTTGAAGAAATACATCCCTTATATAGGTGATAGCTTATTAATGGATATGATTTGGTAACTGCTAAATCAACTGAGCCTTTGGAAATCACTTCAAAATCAGTACATGCACAGAATAAAGTCAAGGACCTAGAAGAGAATTAATTTGGCAATGATATTTCAGTCAGTTGCAGAAACACACTGTAACACTGATTTATGGACAAATGAGGTAGAAGATGGTATATTCTGGTTTTGCAACTCTGAGTTAATACTGGCTCAACTAGAAGAAATGATAGAACAGAGCTGAGGCTGCACTGGAAGGAAGCACATGCAGGCAAGAAAATTCATTCACCAGCCACAGTCTTCAGCAAGTCTCTATTAAATGTATACTTATTTTCAGTACCTGAAGCACCAAAGCATCCTGTAAAACTAAGCTACATTCTAGAGGAATTATGCAGATTACTAATGTTTATTTAAGACTACAGAACAGATATTACCATTATTTTTTCAATGTACTTCTTATATCTACATATTTATGGATATTATTGCATTTAATCTCATACTACCAGGATATTTGAGATGAGTGTCTGAAATTAAAGATTACAAGAACCTGAAAACTGAAATTCAGGTAGAAATTACTGCTGTTTATTTTGATCTTGAAGTTATTTAAAACTTGTCAATTCTGTGAAATAAATAAACAGTTCTGTTTCATATCATTTCAGTGCATAGCTCTCTTCTCAAAATCGTGATTCAACCAGTACATCAGCATTACAGTGAAATACTGCACCTTTTTTTTGTAAGCTCTTCAACAGCAAAACAGAAAAAAAAACATTCCAAAATTATAACCAATTCTTTTACCAATGAGCTCATTAACATTAGTGAAGGCTAGGAGAACTTTTAATTTCAGTAATTATATGCTGTCTATCTAAAATGCCACTGTACTTCTAATTTCATTTGTAGCAAAGCAAAGGCTTTGACCGTTAGAGGAAAGTCACAGGGTAACTTTATCATTAGACTGCCTCAGCATACAAGTTACATTTTGTTTTAAAACAGCAATCTGATGCTCTTTCTTAACAGGCAATACCTGCAGGCTACACTCACGTGGACCTAAGTCTAACTTTAGCTAAATGAGCTCTAATAAACAGCTTTGGTACTTATACATTTAATCCAATATATGCTTAAGAATGTCACCAACAAAAAGTATCTTAATAGCAACTACCTCTCATTATACACAGCAAAAAGTCACCAGTCTAGGGAAAAGCAGAGTTGCACGATGATTCAACACTTACACTGCAGCAGTACCGTCATACCTTCAGTGATGGATGAATAAAGAGCTCAGGGTACCTGCCTCAGAGTACTCAGCATACTCAGTTCAGTGGGACTGGATTACTTGGCAGAAAGTAAAACAACACTATGCAATGCCTAGTGTGTCTAGTAATGCCTAGAAGAACTGTGATTGCTAAAAAAGAAATACTCTATCTTCAGCAGACCAACTAGTGTAGCTCATGGTCTGAGGCCTGAACAGTACGACTTCAATGGACTCAGCTAACAAAGGTACATCAAAAGAGTCAGAAAAAAGAAGCAGCACATTGACATTCAACAGATTTGTTCACAGTACTGATTAGAAAAAGTTCACAATGAGGTATTTGGCAGCAGGATAAAGCAGCACACATTAATGAATCCACAAGTCCATGATGTGGTAGTACTTGGTAAACTATGAAAGGTGCATTGGAAGCAAATATTGGACTCTCATCAAAAGATGTTAGTCAGGAAAGACAATCCTTTTAGCAAAGCTCTCCCACAGAAATGCATCATCTCTTCTCAGCAGTAAAACCCAGGGAACACTAAGCTCATATAACACTATGCTGAGCACATCACACCACATCTTTGTCCACAAAAGAAGGAAAGGTGCCTAAGAAAGGAGCAGCCAAGAAAACCCCAGCTAAGCTAACAGTATCATCTGCTTCCTGTAAGCCTGGAAATTCAAACAAGGAGAATTCAAGCAGAATTCTGCAACTTGCTATGAGATCTGTTTTCCAAGGAAAAGATGATAACAAATCTCAGTATTTGGCTTTAAATAAATCTAAGGTTTTGCTAGATACTAGTTTAAGGACAAACCAGCACAAAACTGTATTTTTTACCATGAAGAGACTACCTAATATTGTGGTATTGACAAATCCCAACTTCACCTGGCTTCTTACTGTTCAAGCCTATTAAAAAGTAGACAGTTCCTGCCCTTTTCTAAAAGTCACTCGGTTTTTCTTTTGTTTCATGATTCCTTTCCACTGCCTTGTCTCTATAAATCTTGTTAGCTACAAAGACTATTATAAATACTGCTTTCTTCTCTCTCACTTGCAAATATTATCTTTTATTAGTTTCCATACATCTATCAGTCAAAAAACTCTTACTTGTATCAGCAAAATCAAGACCTTCAAGATAAGTCATGTATGGTGACATGTTTGCTTGGAACTTCTTGTTATACAGCGCAAATTTCATTGCTGTGCATTTTGTCAAGAAGAGAAGTGTTGACATATTTGAAAGAGTCTCTAAATTCTTTCAAATGAAACGTGCTGTACACAAGAAAATAGTGAAAAGGTTTTACATCACAGTTTTTGGTGTGAAATATGCATATATGCATGGTAATGAATACATGCTAGATGTTTCATGATACAGAAGTTAAAAACTACATCAATTTTACAAATGGAAATATGAGTTAAGTCTTAGGATCAAACATAGATATTATAAAAAAACTCTCACCGTGTTGCAAAAATACTTTTTTCATTTACAAAATGAAAGATAATAAAAGCCACAGTAATGCCATAACAAGACACGAAACAAGCACCATAAAATGATCAAGAAATGGTGAGGATTGCAGCAGCTATTGCCCCTTGTCATGAGAGCTATCTTTCATGCTAAGAAAACTTCTTCAACTTCCTTCTCTACAAGAAAAAAGCAATTATAGAAATTAAAGTGGTCAGTTCACACTTTTCAAGGACTTCACAGTCACCTCACTTTGATGGCAGATGAAGCTGTAGAATATCAGAGCAATCTGGTTTGTACTGATCTGGTTCAAGGTGACATTTCTAGAAGATTAAATGTTACGTGAGCACTACTTGTCTGATCAATATTCCTTTATCTAGAACTATATAGACAACAATCTAGTCCATGTATGTTTTGGGCAAATTAAGCAGGATGCCAAAATAAACTGAAGCAACAAAAAAGCTAGCTAGATTTATAGCTATGACACAGGCCAATCTGCCAAAAGAGCTTTGTAGGCTGGATGTGCCAGACCTGTAGCTAACTGAACACGTGTAAGCAAAATACAAAATTCACATCAATACCAGAATACTTACTGTCTTATATTACCACAGTTACCAGCCTACTGTGCAATGGATGGAAAGAGCATGTCTGCAGCTTCATTGCACATATGTCTTTATCAAAACCTTTTTCCCCCTTACTTTTATGTGTATGGTATATGCACATAGATATGTGAATATGACTGTTATTCCAACAATTACAATGAAACCTAAAATCTGGTAGAATACCTTCAGCAAAAAGGTAACCTTCAGCTGGTCCCACCAGTACCCATTTAAATCTGAAAAGGTTACAGAGCTGCTGAAAATCACTAATTTCTGTCACTATTGTGCTGGGCACAGCTTGTTCCTGCTTGGGTGCCAGAACCCAGGAACATTCTGTTAGCATTCTATTTGCAGTATCCTAATTTCTCAGTCCAGCATGTTACAGGAATACAGTATACAATACCTGCTTCTTCCACATAGAAGTATATTTTGACAGCAGAAATCTGAAAATTAGAATACGATATCCATGCGCATTACTTCTAATGCTGTTCCCTTTCCTACTCTCCCTAGACTCCATTCAGCCCTGCTAGACAAGAGACAGGTATTCAAGACAGATAAATTTTAAACTAGATAAAGCTCTATCAAGATAGACTCATATCTGTTCTACTGCATTGCTCTGGTCTTCAAGATTTTAAAAAATAAAATAAAAATAGTAGTAATAATAAAAAAGTAAACTCTGTATTTGAAATGTTTGAACCACAAACACATTAAGAGAATTTTTCAGTCCCACAAGCATTGTACCAGAAGTTAACACAGACTCAGAGCTTCTCAACCTGCCTCTCTTGTGTTAGCTATGTCTCCTGACACTCAGTGTCAGGGACACCAAGAGCCCCAGCACCACGTGCAACTTGCACTCATTAACGTGAAAATTATCTGTCTGCCTTTCAACTCAGCACTAATTACTGCACTGGAATTATGCCTTGTTATCACTAAGACAAACTGTTTTCAGAGGTTCCTTCCCAACTAAATGCATCTGGCTCAAATATTAACAAAGAAAATACATTCTTTCCAGAAGCCATCCTTTTTGCACATTTCCATTTCATACTGCTATCCTATTGTGCTTCCAAAGATGAGCTAGACTGATGCAAGCCTGAAAAGTTATTACTTTTTAAATCCAGGAGAGCATTGTTAGTTATAGTACTGTATAGACTTCTGAACAAATACAGCAGGAAACATTCATATTGCTTGAATCAAAGGATAACCCTCAGATTTTATAGTTCTTAATTTCAATAGAAATAACCCCATTTTTTGTGAACTTGTAAACTGAAGAGCAGTTTTCATTTTTTTCTCTGAAAAGCAAGGTTTTGCTTTGCTTTAATACAGTTTAACTGCTAAAGTGCTCATTCTTCCCTAATTGTTAATGCACAGACACAACATTTCAACACCTCCTGCCAGCCACAAACAACAGTAGTTCAGCAGTGGAAGACATACCTAAAATGAACATGTCTCACCAAAACGTTGCCTTTTCTTTGTAGATAGAGAGAACAAGTGGTCCCTGAAAGCCAAACTAGTCTGAACTTCTTGCCACCAGCCACATATCTCATCTCTTCTATCAGTACCTGACTGTTCTCTCCCAGTTAAAGGTGACTTACACAGACAGATACATTCTTCTATTGAAAACAGCAGAAAGCAATTTCAGAAGCTGTGATTCATCTGTAACTCAGGACCAACTGCTTCATCCTCTAGATGACATGGCATTTTTGCCAGGCCTTTCAATGGCTCTTCCTTTTCCTCAACAAAGAATTTACGAGTATCTGTTAGAAACATTACTTTATTCTTTTACTTTATAATTTTCTTGATTGTCTTACATTATATTTTTAAATGCAATAACGAGCTTGGTCTATCATTAGCTCATTTTCCTCCTTGCAATATGTACAAAACAGAATCAACGAATTCATTGCAAAATTAGGGTGAGGTGTCAAACTGCAGACTAGCAAGTGAAAGACCTTCATATTTTTATTTTGACTGTAAGACCCCAGCAGAGTTTTTGAACTAGTTCCATTCCATCACACAAGATGATGTAATGTCCTAGTCAGTACAAATTAAAAGAGCCACATTCTTGTTTTAGTCCTAAGTAGTTTTGGAAATACTTAAGACAGGGATGATTTCTCTTTTGCCTCAAACATAATATATATGCTATAAAATTCTTTCATGAATTCACATCACCACACCCTCCAACTGGCATCCCAAAGAACTGCAGTAATGTGACAAAGACATTTATCATTTATTGCTCTAAAAATAGGGCAGGCAAAATAAGCTCCAAAACGAAATTACTCAGATTTGGAACAACTCCTCCAGATACTTAAGGATTAAATCCATCTTTATAAACAAAGTAACTTAATAAAAGTCTAACCTGAGGCTCATCTCCATACTAAAGCCTGTCATCTAGTGAGACTGAACATAAATCACAAACCCAGTCTGCTGATTTTGTCATTAGTTCTGCACAGGCATTTGCTTAATTCATACTCTTCACACCACCTTGTAAAACTGAAATGGTTTCCCCAGCAAGGTACAACATACCAGGAGAAGACTATCAAAGCATCTTTGTTTTAAAATTACGAGCAGAAATTTGATGAACTCATAGAAATCACTTGTTTTTGCTTAAAAAACACCAACAATTTAATTGTTCCCATATATCTGAAATATTTTGCAGTTCTGGTAAGAGGCTTATTTTTGTATTTCCTAAATAAAAGAAAAAAAAGCTTTGATTGAAGTAGAATTGCCCTACTATGTGCAACATCTACCAAATTCAGGCATGCATTTCCTCAATTTTCTTTAAAATTAACATTTTTCTTCATAGTAAGTTTCATGGTCTTGTACAAAGTACTCCTTTTCTCTGTGTATCTTCTATAGAAGAACTAACGTGAACTTTTCAGAGGAAAACACAATTTTCCTGTTAGTTTTAACAGCTGAAGAACTGCACCTCAAATTTAAGGAGATATTGAAACAAATGTGAGCATTTCAACAAGATTCTGTCTGATGATTCCATTTCATTTTGTTTTCTAAGGCTCAAGTGAATGCTCCATCAGTAAAATTCTAAACTGGCAAGTGTACTGAAACTAGCAAGAACCACCTGTTGTTTGTACAAAACCGGATTTGACAGAAGCAAGGCAGCTGTGATTCTGCAGGAGGCAAGAGCCGTTACCTGAGTCGTTGCGGAGGTACGAGGACATTGCTGGGATGAGACAAGACTGACTGAGCAGCTCGAGGAGAACGGATGGAAGAGCGCTGCTGTTTTGGCCTCTCCCCTCATGGCTTGTTTGACTCTCTTCGTTTGATGTACTCCCTGCAGGATTTATGTAACTGGCAAGAACCTGAAATACACCAAAGTAATTCATCAAAACTGATTTATTTCAGTCAAAAGAACTTTGAGTTCCTCAAGATAGATGCCCTAACACTTCACTAACTGTTTTGTGAATTCAGTTCTGGTATTTATTTCAGCAGGCCCAAAGATGTTTCAGAAGAATTTCTATGCAGTTATTAGATTATTCAAACTTTGGCTAATATAAAATTAAATAACTATTATAATTCTGAATTATTTTAGGAGATCAATTAATATTAATTTTGACAAACCTGCTGGAGTTGCTCAAAGCAAGTTTGCCAGCTCAGACCACTGACACCTGCAGCTGACCAGTCCCTTTCACTTTAGAACACCAAGTAGCAGTAGGTCTTTTCTTTTTTTCAACTGCAAATGCTTTGAATGTTTTTTTAACTTCCTTTGGGATGGGATTTCAGGGTCTACAGGTGAAACAGCAAGTTATGGTTACCTGGGGGAACAATTACTCGTGAGCACAGCTCATACGTGAGTGAACAAAGAGCAGCCTTCCCCTCGGCAATGGTGGCAAGGCACCCCCTGCCTGCACACCCACCTGTCCCAAGGGTGGCTGTGGCTGAGTTCACAGGCCCCTACTGTGTGTTGTAGATGTAAGCACTTCTGATTTGTGCAGTTGACTCTCAAACTAAGCAACTTTGAGGCATGACAGGCTGTACTGCTTGAAACCCCAGGGACTCTATTCACCTTTTCAGCCTCTTCTCTTTTCTTTCATTCTCCCTCTCTGTTCTAACCCCCTTACCCACAGTATTTTGCTGCAGCATCTTAATAGCACTCTGTACAACAGAATTTCTCTAAGCCTTTCTAGAGCAGGGACTAAGGGAAGTATGCTGTACAACTGACTGACATGCTCAGCAAAATGCTTCTTCCTTCAACTGCTGAGTGCCCTAAG